AGAATTTTGTTTTTCATTTGGGTATAATGTGTAGCAGAGCCTTATAATGCTTTAGACTGAAATGCTATGGGTTCTTTCTGATTTTTAGGCCCTCTTGTCTGCCACAATCCTACCTATGTCATCTAGAATTGCTCCTCCTAGCTCAAAAGGATATCCTTGCCTAAGGCTGTACAATTGCGCAGGCTCAATCAAAGCATTCTTGCAGGCATCAAAGGCTTCTGGTTGTTACTTGTCCCATTGCCAAACAACTTTCTTCCCAGGCAATTTCTGCAGAGAGTGCAGTAACACTGCCAGGGGTGGAATAAAACTTCTCCGGTACCCTTAAAGGCCCAGAAAAGTTTGCAGTTGTTTCAGTGTAGTTGATACATGTAATTGTTAGACTGTTTGCTGTACCATGTTCAGTGTTTCTCTAGGCTACCCATGCCAAACTATTCCCAAAAATTGCACAGTAGTACTAGGGCCCTGTATTTCCTTTGGAATAACTGCCCAGCCTCAGTCCTGTAAGTGGGCTTTCAGCAATTCAGCAACTGCCTCAATTTCTTGTTGTGCCTGTGCCTTAATCAATAGATCATCAATATAATGGTGAACAGCAATAGCACCCAACAAGAGCTGATACATGAGCTGTCACCATCTGGTGGCAAATGGAGAGACTGTATTTATATAACAGAGGTAATACCTGAAAAGTGTATTGCTTTTGCTGCCACGTAAAGGCAAACTGGTCCTGGCTTTCTGAAGCAATGGCTCTTGAAAAAAAGCATTAACAAGGTCCATTACCACCTTCCAGGGCTGTAGATTTTTGCTGATTTTTTTCCTCTGGTACTGTAACTGCAAGTCAGGGTGTCTTTATCAACAGTAATCAACAGTGATTCTCCAAGTAGCATCTGATTTTCAAACAGGCCAAATGGGATTGTTGAAAGTAGTCATGGTTTCTGTAATGATTTACACTCGGAGTGCCTGAATTGTTTGAGTCGTTTCCTCTTATCCCCCTGGAATGCAATACTGCTTTACATTCCCCACCTTGGCAGGTGCTGGCAGCACAACAGGGTCCCACTTCAGGAACCCACACAAAACAGTTATGGATCAAGTGGCAAATCCTGCTTGAGGAGTCCCAAAACAGAAACGACCGCTCAGTGCTTCAGCGGTTTGCCCTGCCAGCACATCAATGCCCAAGATATAGTCTTTTATTGGGGCAATTAACACCTTCATGACAAATGGGTGGTGTATCCTACCATTAAAGTAACTGTGCTCTGAGGGTGGGGGTGGAACTGCTCCCCAAGCTGCAGATGTGGGCAGTCTCTTCATTAGGAGCAACATCACTGTGTGATACAGTAACTTCTGCACCTGTATCCACCAGAGCTGGCACATGCAAAGTTCCTGCAGGTGGCCACTCCACAGTCAAGAGGAACAAAGAGGTGTTGGTCCCGCTTCCAGTGAGAGGCTACAGTGGCAGCAATCTGGGGGGACCCGCAAACCCACTGTTTCCACATCTGCCAGGAGTTTGGGTGCTCAGAAGTGGCAGGAGGGATGGTGGGGGGATTTTTTCTTTTCACAGGCACTAACCTTTGCCAACAGTGAAACATTTCTGATGTTGTGATTCCATCTATTTCTGACTGTGGAACACTGGCTGGCACAAGATCATTCAACATTTGTTTCCTACTCACCCGTGAGGTGACTCTTTCTGGCTTTGCCAGTTGATTTTCTCTCCCTATCCAAACAGCTGGCTCTGAGATCACAGCCCCAGTACCCCTCAGGGCATTTGTTAAGGCACTTTTGTCATCAGTAGCATTCATGACTGTTGATATAATCAGTGGTTTCAATTTATCAGGAGCCCCTTTCACAAACTGAATTTTGTTATTTCTCATAACTGCTGCTCCGTCTGGATCAGATCCTGTGCTCTGGGCCTGAGCTACCCCATCTGCCACAGTGAACCAACACCTTCTTCCATGTTGCACCAGATCCCAAAGGACAACACTGACTCAGCAGGATCTGCATGTGCTGTTAAAGCTGCTGCATGTGGCCATTGATACAGCGTAGGGGCAACAATACCCCTGGTATTTCATAGCTGAGCTCACCCCTGTTGGATTTGATTATCAGTGGCTATAGGAGTTAATAGATCTTTTTCACCCACTAATAAGTGAATAAAGACAGCACCACTGTCCCAAACTTATAAAACCTATGGTAATATGCTCTCCTTGCTCTTCTGTCAATAAGACTCTAAAAATTCCTATAACTCTTTTGGGGTATAGATCTGTGTGACCTGTACCACCCTGTCTGGCAAACCCTGCTGTCCCTCCATTTCTATGAGTGGTCATGTTTTTGCACTTTCTTATCTTGCAAGCCTACCTCAAATTCAGTCTTGGAGTCCAAATATTTCCATCCCACTTCTTGGCATCCCATAGGGGTTTCTAAATAAGACCGTGGACTTCAGAAGTTAAGACCTTACTTTTCACATACTTTGGCCCTCGTTTGGTGACAAAGTGTGCCACCAGCCATGCTATAGTGCATTGCTGCTCACAACACCACTCCTTTGGAACAGTAAATGCTTCTCGCGTGAACTCCTTTGCAGCCTTTGGAGCCCCAATTTCCTCTTTCAGTGCTCTCAGTGGCTCCATAAGGCCATAATCTCATGATCAAGAGTTCTAAGACTGGTAACTAACAACCATCACAATTTCCCTGCTAACTTGTGAGGGGACTTCCAGGCCACTTTCCACTTTAATCCAGACATAGCTAATGCAACTGTCTGTGGGGTACCCACCTCCCCAGCACCTGTTTAAGGCCAGGCCTCCATCAGAGCCATTGTCACTAGGAAAGTGCCTACAGGAGTCCAGTGTTCAGTGATGAGCCATTCAAAATGTGGGGAGTCACTGCCATGGCCTTGCCAATCCCAGACTTTTCCTGAGCCATGGCATGGCTGTTCATAGATTCTGCTGACTATGCCAATTGTGTGAGTCAACTCAGGTGACCAGATGGAACAACCAAAAAAACATGGTTGAATGCAAAGACTAAATTTACTTTATTACCTCACTAAGTGGAAGATCCTAAAGCAACACTCAGATTTCCTTGCCATTCTTCCAATTTAAATCATTTCCTCCCAACCCAAGAGATTTCTAATGAAATAGAATTTCACAGAGGCATCACCCATGTGACAAGTGTGCTCAGCAATGGGCAGCACTGAGACTCTTTTGGAGACAGTTGGAACTGACTCACTCACACAGGGCAGGAGCCACTGGACTCTTCTCACAGAGCCCAGCCCAGCAGCTTTCTCCCCCAGCTCCCAAACCTTGCCACATTTACACAATACAGTGGGTCCAATGCAGAGTGAATGTCGACTGCAGAAGAGTGAAGCTGACAATGAAGCAAGTCCTGATGGTGAGACCGGTTATACTCTCATGGAGCTGCACATTCTCTCTGCAGAAGGATCTGGACAGGCTGGATACATTGTCCAATCCAGCAGGGTGAGGTTCTACAAGACCATATGTCAGGTCCTACACTTTGGCCACAATAACCCCCTGCAGCTCTACAGGCTGGGGGCAGAGCACTTGGAAAGAGGCCCAGTGGAAGAGGACTTGGGGCTGCTGGTGGATAGTGGCTGAACATGAGCCACAGTGGGCTCAGGTGGGCAAGAAGGCCAAGGGCATCCTGGTCTGTATCAGGAATAGTGTCCAGCAGAACCAGGGCAGTGACTGTGCCTGTCTACTGTGCACTGGTGAGGTCACACCTCGAGTGCTGTGTCCAGTTCTGGGCCCCTCAGCTGAGGAAGGACATTGAGGTGCTGGAGTGAGTCCAGAGAAGGGCAATGGAGCTGGTGAAGTGCCTAGAGGGTGTATCCTGTGAGGGGATGCTGAGGGAGCTGGGGAGGTTTAGCCTGCAGAAGAGGAGGCTCAGGGGAGACCTCCTCACTCTCTACAACTCTTTGAAAGGAGGTTGTAGCCAGGTGGGGGTGGGTCTCTTCCCCCAGGCAACCAGCAGAGTTCAGGCTGCTCAGGGAATTAGTAAACAAGGTGTTTCAAGGTCATGATGGGTTGATCTTGGCAAACAGCCTGGTGCCCATGAGGAGATTCTATCACTGCCCACCCTCACCTGGGCGAGGGGAGAAAATACAATGCCAAGGTGAGGGGTCAAAGTAAGGTCAGGGGAAACACTCAGCAATTATGATTCATCGGGGGGAATCAAATTTAATTTATTTTCAATTACCCATAGACTAGGACAAAGACAAATAGTAATAAATCTAAATCCACATTGGCCCCCAGCCTTCCCTCTTCTTAGTTTCAGGTTCACTGCCAACTTCTACACCTTCTTCCCACCAGTGGCACAGGGGGAAAGGGGGTTGTGCTCAGCCCATTCTGGAAGTCTCTGCACTCCTTCCTGCCACTCTGCTCCCCTGCTCCGCTGTGGGTCCCCTGCTACAGGGTGGGTCATTTCCAAAGGGTGCAGTCCTTTAGGAACAAAATGCTCCAACGTTACTCCTTGACAGGCTCACAGGTCCTGACAGTAGGACCTGCTCCATTGTGGGCTTCTCTCCACTGCAGTGGATATGCCTGCCAGGATTCTTTTCGAGTGCAGGCTTTTCACAGTACCACAGCTTTCTTCATGGTACACCCACCTACAAAGGGCTCCATAGAACAGCTGATCCCACTCAGCTCTTTTGTGTGGCTGATCCCAATCCTGACACATGAAACACCCCAGCCCTGCGTGTCTGGACACAAGCTGGGCAGAACAGTCAATGTAAGGGAGGTGTAGGAAGGGATGAGGTTGTGGGCTGTGTTTAGGTATTGCTGTTACCTATACCCATTCCTACCATATTTTGGACCCACCTTCTCTTTTGGTGTGGTCTTTGTAGTGGGTTAGCCAGGGATGGGTCTGGGAGCTCTAAGGGAAAGATCACAAATTGAAATCCACTAACCCTAACCCTCTGCCTTCCTCCACATTCTTCCTTGATCTCAATAGATGTGTTGCCACAGAAAGAAGGAGAACTCAGAGTCCCAGGCTTGGATGCAAAACAACTTTATTGAGTCTAAAGAAGCAAAGGAGGTGGCTCACAGAGGGCACCAGCAGCAGCCACTAAGATGCAGGGGGGGTGTCCCTCTGCCTGGGCTGCAGAGGCAGGGAGGCCAAAAGGTCCCCAGGAGGGTGGCATTGGGTGGTGGTGACAGAAAAGGAAGGGAAGAGAGAGAAGAGAGGAGAAGAAGGAAACAAGAGCCATAAAGTCTAAATGCAATGTCCCAGCGTTGTGTTTTCAGTGCAGCAGCATGATGAGAGGTCTTGCAGGTTGTTGGCCAAGGAGGTTTGCAGGGGCTTTAGCAGGGGGGACATCTGCCACGGTAGCAGCTGGTGATGCAGGAGAGGTCAAAGCCCCCGGAGTTGATGGGCACTCCATCACAGCTGAGGATGCTGCCAACGGCAGCGGAGGTGGAGGATCCCACCACGGTGTTCTGTGGGAAGGAGCTGAGGATGGGCCCGGGCAGGGTCACCAGCACAGCCGGCGGCTCAATGACGACGGTGGAGCTCTGGCACTGCCTGACACAGCACTCATTGCAGCTGTTGGCCAGCGGGGTCGGGCCGCAGGGCTGGCAGCAAGGGTTGCAGGGCTGGCACTGCTGGCACTTCTCAGGGCACGACATGGCTCGAGCCTGGGGCTGCACCTGGCACACAGGGCAGGGAGGAAGCAGAGCACACGCACACCTCAGCAACAGCCGGCAAAGCACCACCAGGAAGCCAAGGCAGCTGCTGCTGCTTGGGGAGGGAGAGGCTCTGCAGGGGCCAACAAGGGAGCCTTTCCCTGAGCCCAGCAGGGCCTTCAGAGATCAGACAGGCCCAGGCTGCTCCTGCCTCAGCTGTAGGAAAACAGCCCCCTCAGCCCAGCCTCCGCCTCTGTCCCTAACAGACGCTCTCCCCTCTGCCCACACGACCACCATCCCCGAGCACTCCCACAAGACCAAGGAGCAGGGATGGGCTGCAAAGCTCGACCCTGTGCTAGAGAGGGGGGAGGAGAAAGGGGCTTCCCACTCACCGGCTTGCTGAGGAGAAGGAGGTGACAGAAGGGGTTGAGAGAGCCACCAGTTCGGCTGGCTTTTATACTGGCCCCACAGTGCCTCAGGGCCCAAAGGCCGTGCTGCGTAAGTGACAATTTTCCTGCATGATCCCAAGGAACGGAAACACCTCAGGGAATGAATGGTATGGCATGAGGTGGTGATTCCCACTACCCTGACATTGCATTTCCTGGCCTACATCATCACCGTTCCCTCATGGACACTTCTGAGTGCAGGTCTGAGAGGTTCCAGGATTTCTGGGGGCAAGAATGTGTCAGTATGGGCAGAAGTGATGACCTGAGTGCACAAGGGATACAGAAGAGGCAGGTGATTCCAACCTGGGGCACTCTGGTGGATTTCTGTAATGCTTCCTGACTTCTGTAATTCCTACTGGCAGGAAGGGTCCCAGCTACTCCCAGCCCTCCGTTCCTTGGCTCTTCACCCAAAGTCCTCCCCTGAATGTGGGTCTTGCCCTGCTGGTCAAAACACTTTGGCTTCCTTCGGTGCCTGGACAGTCCCTGAGGCTCCTCTGGCACTGCTGCCTGAGCATCTGTGCTGCTCAGAGGCCCCCTCCCTGCTCTGGCAGGGAGCTCCCCGGCAGCTCCTCACTCCCATCCCATCCCCTCTGCCCCCTGTGCTGATCCCCAGGAATGGGTGGGGGAGTGTGACCATGCCCTGGAGCGTGTGAGTGTCTGCACATCCCTGTGCTTGTGCTCCCCTAGGAACACACCCCTGGGAGCCTCTGGCCTGCAGTGTCTCTCTGTGCACAGGGGAAAGCACTTGAGTGCAACCTGCTGTGTGAGTCCTTGGGCATGTTTGCTGTGTCTGTGCATCTGGGTTTGTCCTTGTGCTCCCTGGGCAGGTTGGGAATGTGTCAGTGCCTGCGGGGGTGTCCTCAGCTGTGTCTGAGCTCATGGCTGAGCCCAACCATTCCAAGGCCTGTAGTGACATCCCTCCTCAACAGTGCCGGGCACTGGCACAGTCCCAGCTCCCCCTTTTCTGAGGAGAGCTCGTTACTGGAAAAGTGATATTTCTTTAAAAAGAGTCTATGCAGCCTTTGGTGAAGATGTGAAAAATATCTTTTAAGTTTAGCACAGTAGTGTTTGATCCCTATATTCATGGTTAATACTTAGTTTTGTCCCACATAGTGCTTAGTACAGATGCCTGAGTTTGATGTGGCTTTGTGTTAAGTCCCTCCATCTGTGACTTATAGTCTTGTGACAGCAATAGCTTCCTTATTTCCCTATATCAGTGATTGATATGGACTCTCAAATGTCTTAGTTTTGAGAGCAAGGATTGTGTGTCAGAACAAAGATTGATAAGAGAAGTTTGTTATGACCTGACCACGTGCTTGAGATACTCTCAAGAAGAGAGAACACACTAGAACATCTGGAACCATAAAAGGAAAACATGGGGAATGGGACGTTCCCAAGAGATGACCAAAAACTCTCAAAAGACCCCTATGAATATCCAAAAAAGTCCACAAATATATTTAATGTATATGCATGGATTTAGGAACTGTAATGAATATGTAATAAAAATTTGATGAATACGTGCTAGCTTTATGAATATAACCTGGTCTGTTTGGTTGCTGGGTGTGCATGTTCTGTGGAGCTTTTCACACTCACCCAGCAGGGTGTGGACTCAAACCTAACAGACTGGTTCATGAGCTTGTTTACTGGTTTTTGGTGACAACTGGAGAGGGCCACGGCACTCAGGTCTCACCAAGGAGAATCCTGACCCCAGGCCATCACTCCTCATGCTACCTGCAGGCAGCCTTGGGGCACGGAGCTGTTTCCCAGGGTCTTTGCTCCTGTCTCATGGAGAAGCCATGGCTGGGATCAGAGGTGAACTCTGGCACAGCTCAGGGGAGCCCTTGGGTGATGAGCCAAAGCCTGGAGGCATTTGAGCAGCTGGGAACTTTCCTGTCAGCAGGACCAGAGTGCCCCAGGCTGGAATCACCTACCTCTTCTGTATCCCTTGTGCACTCAGGTCATCACTTCTGCCCATACTGACACATTCTTGCCCCTAGAAATCCTGGAACCTCTCAGACCTGCACTCAGAAGTGTCCATGAGGGAACGGTGATGATGTAGGCCAGGAAATGCAATGTCAGGGTAGTGGGAATCACCACCTCATGCCATACCATTCATTCCCTGAGATGTTTCCGTTCCTTGGGATCATGCAGGAAAATTGTCACTTACGCAGCACGGCCTTTGGGCCCTGAGGCACTGTGGGGCCAGTATAAAAGCCAGCCGAACTGGTGGCTCTCTCAACCCCTTCTGTCACCTCCTTCTCCTCAGCAAGCCGGTGAGTGGGAAGCCCCTTTCTCCTCCCCCCTCTCTAGCACAGGGTCGAGCTTTGCAGCCCATCCCTGCTCCTTGGTCTTGTGGGAGTGCTCGGGGATGGTGGTCGTGTGGGCAGAGGGGAGAGCGTCTGTTAGGGACAGAGGCGGAGGCTGGGCTGAGGGGGCTGTTTTCCTACAGCTGAGGCAGGAGCAGCCTGGGCCTGTCTGATCTCTGAAGGCCCTGCTGGGCTCAGGGAAAGGCTCCCTTGTTGGCCCCTGCAGAGCCTCTCCCTCCCCAAGCAGCAGCAGCTGCCTTGGCTTCCTGGTGGTGCTTTGCCGGCTGTTGCTGAGGTGTGCGTGTGCTCTGCTTCCTCCCTGCCCTGTGTGCCAGGTGCAGCCCCAGGCTCGAGCCATGTCGTGCCCTGAGAAGTGCCAGCAGTGCCAGCCCTGCAACCCTTGCTGCCAGCCCTGCGGCCCGACCCCGCTGGCCAACAGCTGCAATGAGTGCTGTGTCAGGCAGTGCCAGAGCTCCACCGTCGTCATTGAGCCGCCGGCTGTGCTGGTGACCCTGCCCGGGCCCATCCTCAGCTCCTTCCCACAGAACACCGTGGTGGGATCCTCCACCTCCGCTGCCGTTGGCAGCATCCTCAGCTGTGATGGAGTGCCCATCAACTCCGGGGGCTTTGACCTCTCCTGCATCACCAGCTGCTACCGTGGCAGATGTCCCCCCTGCTAAAGCCCCTGCAAACCTCCTTGGCCAACAACCTGCAAGACCTCTCATCATGCTGCTGCACTGAAAACACAACGCTGGGACATTGCATTTAGACTTTATGGCTCTTGTTTCCTTCTTCTCCTCTCTTCTCTCTCTTCCCTTCCTTTTCTGTCACCACCACCCAATGCCACCCTCCTGGGGACCTTTTGGCCTCCCTGCCTCTGCAGCCCAGGCAGAGGGACACCCCCCCTGCATCTTAGTGGCTGCTGCTGGTGCCCTCTGTGAGCCACCTCCTTTGCTTCTTTAGACTCAATAAAGTTGTTTTGCATCCAAGCCTGGGACTCTGAGTTCTCCTTCCTCCCATGACAAGTCTTCCAGTCAGATCAGGAAGAAGGTGGAGGAAGCAGCGGTTGCTTTCCCTTCAGTGGATTTTAATTTGTGATCTTTCCCTTGCAGCTCACAAACACATCCCTGACTGAGGGGGTGGTTAGACACCGGAAAAAGTTACCAAGAACATTTGTGGATTCCTAAGCCTAATCCCTGGATGTGTTCAAAGTCAGATTGGACAGTGATTTAAGCACTGTGGTTTAGTGGGTGGCATCCTGTCCATGGAGTGGGGGGGAGCTTGTGGAAATAAATGATTTTTAGGATACTTTCCAGTTAAACCAGTCTAAGATTCCATGATTTGAATAGAATTCACTTTGATAGAGGAATCCGCAGTGTGAGAAATGTGCTCAGCAATGGGCAGCGCTGAGTCCCTTCTGGAGACAGCTGGAACTGACTCTCACACACACAGGGCAGGAGCCACTGGACTCTTCTCACAGAGCCCAGCCTGGCAGCCTTCTCCCCCAGCTCCCAAACCTTGCCACATTTACACAATACAGGGGGTCCAACGCAGAGCAAAGCACAATTAGATGAATAACAAGTTCAACTACAAAGCACCAGCCCAGGCATCAGACAGGGATGGATGTAAATGTGAATAACCTAAAGAAAAGTGATAGCACTGCTCCCTAGGCAAAGAGGGAATTTGCCTGGCCTCTCTCTTGATGGAGGAGATGGGTTTGATCCATTTGGCCCCAAAGCACATGTCCCTGCCTGCCTAGACACAGTTGCTGGCAACTCTGATTCAGCTTTTTGGGGAGCTATGGAAGTCCTGGTGCTCAAACACCAAAACGACTCCACAGCTCTTTGACTGTCCCAGTGCCACCCAGAATGTCTGTCCTACATCTCCCAGCAGAGTGACATCTCGACCCTGATCCCTCCAGTTCCACACCCATTTGGCACAGGGTCTCAGCAACATTCCGCCAACAGGGAATTGATTCAGGGATCAGGGCCTGCACAGTGGGCAGGAGTTATTGGCTTTCCCCCTGAACAGAAAGCAAGAAATGGAGGGTGCAAGAGGCAGAGGCTGCATTTCAGTTCTCTGGACACTCCTCTGCAGGGTCGAAGGCAGCACCATTCAGCTGTAGATTGGCTCCTTCTGGTGGGGGCAACCGGCTACTCTGTGGTGCTCACGGACACACCAAGGGCAGATCCAGTGCTGGAACCTTCCACTGCCCTCCTGATGGGGATCCCACACACACAGACTGACACACATGTGTGCCTTGAGCCCTGCAAAAATCTGGACACGTTTAGAAAGACAGAAAAACATAAAGAAGTGGGAACTGTGCTGAGGAGATGTTAGGAACCCCTCTGCAAAACAGTATGCAAGTACCCTAGTGTGGCATGATGGATAGGTTTACAATTTAGAGGAGGCTTGGAATTCTGGGGCAAAATGCAGTATCTACTCCCTAGAAGGGAATGTGGCCATCATGCTCTTCATACAATAGAATCATCTGCTCAGAGGAACAGAACAGATAGTGGAACAGAGTGGAAACTACTTGGCCCCCCTCCATTCAAACGCCAGCAGAAAGGGGGAACATTGTGGGACTCTGAAGGTCATGAGACAATACGGTGTCTGTCAGCCAAGGGAGAATCAAGGTGTTCTGCTGCTGAGCCAACAACCATGCCAAACCCCCTCTGGAGGTGCCAAAGCACCACCACCCCCCTCTCATTAGGTGTGGCAAGACAATTTTACGCCAACCAGAAATAAACAGTATTTATGACTAAAGCCACCCAAGCTCCCCAAAAACACAGAGTATAAAAGTATGTTGGGGATGGGGGAAAGTTGGGAGAGGGCTCCACCAAAACTGCTGGGGTCAGTCAAGGGGCTGAGCCCATCTCTTCCCCCCACAGGGACACCTATTGCAGAAGCATAATACTCTACACATGTTAACTCTTGCTTTTAGGACTAGAGCTTGTGCTTGCTTAATATATATCAGTAGATTGCTTTAAAACACATTTTTGTAGCCAGACACTGTCACTGACAACCATAAA